TTTGGGGAGCCCAGGAGCACTCTACAAGCCTCCTAAAGGCTATTCATGCCCCTTTTTAAACAAAAAACGGACCATTTTTTGCTTGTTTTTTGGGGAGCCCAGGAGCACTCTACAAGCCTCCTAAAGGCTATTCATGCCCCTTTTTAAACAAAAAACGGACCATTTTTTGCTTGTTTTTTGGGGAGCCCAGGAGCACTCTACAAGCCTCCTAAAGGCTATTCATGCCCTTTTTTTTGAAAAAAAAGCCCCCCTTTTTTGCAAAAAAAAGGGGGGGGGGCATTTTTGGGAGGTCTGCAGAGCGCAAAAACTTTTTTTTCAAATTTGCCTCTTCAAAATCTTGGTGCGTCTTATACTCTGGTGCGTTTTATACTCCAAAAAAATACGCTAGTTTGTCAACGGTAGAAAAGAATTATTCAAATCACTTACCACATGGAGGGAAATCATATGTTTAGCTGTTCTCATAATTATTTGCACATTCACGTATTTTTGCTCAGTTTTGTCCATAATAAACAAAACGGCTAAAGACCAATACAGATAACCCATACAACTATTCATTTAGTGACTGTTTAAAGTTACGACAGCACCGAGTAAAGTGACCTATGACCCTTTTTCATACTCATGGCTGTTGCAGCATCCCTGTAGTCATGTGATCAAAACTCGGATGCTTGGCAAGTGTAGGTATTTATCCGTGTTCAGTAGGAATGTAAAATGGAGTGGCGCGGTGGCCTAGAGGTGGAGCTCTCACCTCACAATCAGGAGGTTGTGAGTTCAATCCTAGGTAGAGGCAGATATTTCTCTCTCTGGGCACAATGAGAATATATCTGCTGAACCAAACTCTGCATTGGCAACAGGAAAGGCATCCAGCCAGTAAATACTCTGCTAGCTCCATCCAGTTGCCCAGTCTCCATCCCACAAAGGATTATGGGGGTCGTTAAAAAAAGAAGATGTGTAAGACTGTAAAATGTACAGCCATTTGTTTATTTATTAATGGACTTCTATTTTTTTCTCAGGTGAATTAATATTTGCCTATGCTAACTCTGGCCTTTCTGATAACTGTTCTGCTTAAAAGTAAAAACATTCAAATAATTTCTGATTTCCTAATACAGAAAGTTCGAGGAACTTTAGAAGAGAGAAAAACTACTGTATTTTTCAGAGTATAAGACGCACCTTTTCCCACAAAAGAGGGTGAAAATCTAGGTGTGTCACTGAATACAGCATTTTGGCCCCCTTTGCAAAAATGCATGTGCATAGGCCTTTAGGTTTCCAGAGTGCCCCTGGGGGCTGGGGAGGGCAAAAATGAGCAAAAAATTGGCTGGTTTTTGCTCGTTTTTGCCCTCCCAGCCTCCAGGAGCACTCTATAAGCCTCCTAAAGGCTATGCATGCCCTTTTTTTGACAGAAAATGGGCCCGTTTTCATGAAAAATGGGCTGTTTTTTGCTCATTTTTGCCCCCCCATCCCCCAGGAGCACTCTACAAGCTTCCTAAAGGCTATGCATGCCCTGTTTTTGACAAAAAAACGAAGCCATTTTTGCAAAAAATGAGCAGTTTTGGGGAGATCTGCAGAGCGCAAAAACTTTAAAATTTGCTTCTTCAAAATCTTGGTGCTTCTTATACTCCGGTGCATCTTATACTCAGAAAAATACAGTATATGTTGAACTTGACTAGAAAAATGGATTCTGAGGTAGTCATACCCCCCCCCCCCTTTAGGGACTAAACAAAATGCTGAAATTCAACACAACCTCCTTCCTAGCATTCTTGCATAGGATTTTATGCATTTTGGAAGGGTCGTGTATCCTTTTTAGATGGCTAACCACCACCAAAGTACAAATAGTCCTCAACTTATGACCCCAGTTAAGCCCCGAATTGATGTGCGGCCAAGTGAGAAATTTGTTAAGTGAGTTTTGCCTCATTTTGCGATTTTTCTTGCAACGGTGGTTAAGTGAACCTGGATTCCCCGTTGACTTTGCTGGCCAGAAGGTCAGCAAAGAAGGTCACCTGACCCCGGGACACTCCAACCGTCATAACTATGAGCCAGTTGCCGAGTGTCCAGATATAAATCACGTGTCCATGGGGAATGCTGCAACGGCTGTAAGTGTGAAAAATGGTCATAAGTCAGCCAACAACCTGGGTCCTCATTTTACCGACACGGATGGAGGGCTGAGTCAACTTTGACCTGGTGAGAATCGAACTGCTGGCAGTGGGCAGAGTTATCCTGCAATACGGCATTCTAACCACTCAGCCGCCACGTTGTGACTTCGAACGGTCACTTTTGTAAGTTGAGGACTTTTACCTGTACTGTGTAAACATACATTATTATGTTTGGAAAAGCTGCACATTTTTCCACAGAGGTATATGTCTTCGCAAGAAGCGATTTAGCTGCTTCCTCCCATCGATGATTACCAAACAGGGCAAAAACGACCCCAAACCAATTAAAAATAGCACGTTTATAAAAGAACAACGTAATCGGATGATGCTGCCTCATGATTAGTACTGAAAAATAGTTTAGCAGATAGTCCCTCATGAACAAACACCACAATTACAGTATCAAAATATATAAATGATCCTTCCTCTTATATATATATAAAAACAACAAAGGTTTGGATGATACTAGCGGGCCAATTAATCTATTACTCTGACAATGACCGAATGTTTTGGAGTCGGTTCTTCTGTTTCGTTTTCCTCAAACACGTCGGGATAAATCGGTAGCCTGTCTTTGGGACATTCCTCAAAATAACTTTTGACGTACTTTCTAACCGGCCATCCTTTATATTCTTCAGGTTTTCGGCATTCTAGGCCATTGTAGTGGACGTTGTAGTGATGGTTCAGCCAGTAGAAAAGATAATGGATGTTATAGTCGCATCTCCAAGGGTTGTCTTTAAGCCGCAGTATTTTCAAAAAGTACAGATGTTCCAGGACGCCATATTCAATATTTTGTAGGAAATTGTTTGAGAGGTCTAATTCTTCCAGGTTGATGAGGCCTGCAAAAGCAGCTGTCCAAAACAATGAAAAAATAATAATAACAATTAGAAATAACAAATAAACGGCGTATCTGTTTGCACACACACTGGTTGAAATTTCCTGGGAAGAGTCGGCATTTTTTACGGTAATCAACCAATTATACAAATCATAGCGGCTTCATTTCTCCCTTGGCTTAAATTAAAAACCTGGCAGCGTTTATGTCTTTAGAGTGAGACAGGGAGGTTAATATTCTGATTTTCGCGAAAGGAGCAGAAATGAAGCAACTGACAGAATCAAAGACGGTGGCTGGGTGTAAATCTCTGAGATTATTTTATATTTTGCATGGTGTTGTACTACACTTTCCCTGACTTGGTTTAGTATGTCATTGTGGCTTCAAGATCTTGTTTTAGGCTACAAAAACCTAAATATCTGTGGGTTAATCAACAATTATGATTTACAAGCCCCAGCAGCTGGAGTCACTATAAGGCAGTGATGGCAAACCTATGGCACACACGTGCCAGAGGTGGCATACAGAATCCTCTCTGTGGGCATGTCATGTGTGCCATCGCTAGCTGCTCTTCTGGTTTCCAGCACGCATATGTGCGCCTGCCAGCTGGTCTTCACGGGCACTGGAGCGCTGGAAAACAACTTTAAAATGGCCTGGCTGTTTTTGGGGCCATTTTGCAGGCTGTTTCCCGTCCATTTTTGGCTGGTTTTGGGGGCTGTTTTGGGGCCAAAAATGGCCTCGAAACAGCCTGCAAAATGGCCCCAAAAACAGCCAGGCCATTTTAAAGTTGTTTTCCAGCGCTCCAGCGCCCGTGAAGACCAGCTGGCAGGCGCACATATGCGTGCTGGAAACCAGAAGAGCAGCTAGCGATGGCGCACATGGCATGCCCACCGAGAGGATTCTGTGTGCCACCTCTGGCACGTGTGTGCCATAGG